GAATCTTATACGATTGAACAAGGGTGTCATGTATCGGGGCCGAATGGCCCTACCCTAATTTTTCATGCCAAGTCATTTCATAATCAATAAAATAACATGTGAAACCAAAGTGAAAGTTTTTAATAGAGATACAATTTTGGCCGACCCGTTGGATACCCGTACCGAACCGATTTGGTCAAACTGGGGAAAACCGCTTTGACCGGGGAATGGGTATGGGGCGGGGAATACCCGGATTTTTTAAATGGTTAATGGTGCGGTTATGGTTCTATACTAATCCGCCCCGTTATCCGCCCCGAAACCGTCCCGTTCACTAATGGTGTGGGTACCCGCACCATTACCCGATCCGTAACATTATTAATGAATTATAACTTTTTATATATAAGAATATTAAGTATACATGCTAAATTGTGTATACTAAATAGTATATATCATATAAATAATGCTAAAAAATATACTACTTTTTAGGCCTAAAACTAAATATAGGCCTAAACCTGTTTTTGGAATTTGAATTCTGGGATGATTACTAGTTACTACCTTTTTATTATGTTACAAGAGATATTAGGTGCATGTCATACTAATGGATTTAGGCCAGTCTGCTTGATTGTTTAAATATTTACTTTTGTATGTTTTAGGGTGCTTTGAATATATAAATAACAAGTATGATTATAAATTTGTGATTTATTTTCCAAAAAATGGTTATTTGGCATCATTTGGGGAAACGGTTACCCGTGGATAAACTGATTCCCCGTTGGGACGGGTACGGTTCAAATAAAAATTACCCGAACGGATAATGGGGCGGTTTCGGGGCAAACATTTATCCAACGGGGCGGTTTGGGTTTTATGTGTACCCGTCCCCGATCAGCCCGTTGCCATCACTAGTTTTTAAGCAAGTTCCTATAATAATTGTCTTTTTCTCTTTTTTGCCTAAGATATATCTAATGAAGTGGTTTTTTTTGTCAATGTTGTAGCATTTGATCATCTTAGATTGAGGATTGGGGGTTCTTTGCAAGACCAAGTGTTGTACAAGGTTGGGTATGGAGTGAACAACTGCCAAGACTTCAACAGAACGGACGATGACATGTTTGGCTTCACCGGTGGTTGCCTTCGCATGGAGAAATGGGATGAGTTACATGAGCTGTTCAACAAAACCGGGTGAGTAATTAATAATAATGTTTTTTAAACTATTTCACATATATATAAACATAAACACATAGATACATACATACATATATATGTATATAATGTTCAATCATGCTTCATGTACACGTTTTATGTACACGTCATTTTACACGCCGACTGAATTGTATATGCACAAAAAAGAATTCCATTTTATGAAGGGAATTGTTTTACGCTCTCACGAAGTTTTTTATCTGTGCCATGATAAAAGAAGTTGTTCGTGTACACAAAACGTGTTTTTTTAAGCATTTTCTTATAGTGTTGAAGTTAATTAATTACAAATGTGTTATGTGTGCAGTGCTATTATGACTTTCGGCTTGAACGCTTTATTGGGAAGGCAGAAGTCTAAAAATGGTACTACCCTTTGGGTGGGTGATTGGAACTCCCAAAATGCTAGGGATCTTATGGAATACACTGTGTCACAGGGGTATAAAGTTGATTCTTATGAACTTGGTAAGATGAATTGAGCTCTTGTTTAATTCTTGTACACTCAATAAGACAAAACGATGAGACAAATAATCAAATCACAATAGCAACTTGGCTTTGATACTACAATATCACTTTAGTTTCACCTCTAGAACTTTGTGAATTGATTTAGCCGATGGGCGTAGCTAGCCGGTAGATAGGGGGTGCCACAACGATAAGTCCCAAGTTTCATAATAAGTGTCATGAAATGTGATTATGTAAGATTTCATAGGGTCTCTGTAAGTACTTGGGACAGAACCTCACTCCGCTATATGTCAGCCTGCGATTAAATTCTAACTTACATCATTCCAATTAACTATCCTTTAGAAATGTGGTGTCATCCTTTTGTAAATTGATTTCATATTTTACATTACCAAAAGGACCTTCTACACATATAAACACATAATTACATATTTATTCTCCTTAATAGTGGGACAAGCCTTTACAAAATACAACTCTGTACATTTCTTGTTGAGACATACTTCATTGTGATATTTATTGCAGGGAATGAATTGTGTGGCACCGGAGTGGCCGCAAGAGTAGAGGCAGATCAATATGCAAAAGATATGATGACTCTAAAGAAGCTTGTAGAAGAGATTCACCCGGATCCAACAACCAGACCAAAGGTTTTGGGTCCGGGTGGATTTTATGAGGAGAAGTGGTTTAACACCTTCCTTCAAACTGCAGGTCCTAATGTTATTGAAGCTTTGACACACCACGTCTACAACCTTGGCTCAGGTTTGTAATCAAATTTATACAGAATTAGTGTTTAAGTATTGCTAAAGAGTCATAAAATGCATATTTTATCATATAAGCTAAACTGCATTTATTTTACATATTAATTGTGTACATGTTATTTAAATCTCTCTCTGTTTTTAGTAGTTTTAACTTGCTAAAAGTGAGATGCATTTCCTCACAAATCTCACATTTGAATAGTGGGTTTTAATAGACCTTGTGTTTTTGGTCATAATGAAACTAAATTGGTTTTCATGAGTCACTTTCTGGAGCATTTAACTCTTGTGGTTGAACTAAAGGAGTAGAACTCATATTGCTGTTTTGCAGGAGATGACAAAAATCTGATCAATAAGATCCAAGACCCATACTATCTTGATCAGGTTGCACAGACATACAAGGATGTCTCCACCAGCGTCCAACGTTTCGGCCCATGGACCGAAGCTTGGGTAGGAGAATCGGGTGGTGCTTACAACAGTGGTGGTAAAGATGTTTCTCATTACTTTGCTGATGGCTTCTGGTAACATATCTTTCACAATTTCCCTTGTAGATTTTTATTGGGTTCAGAAAGTAAACGTTAAAGAATGGAAAATTTGACATTGTACCGAATATTTTCATCCAACCTCATTGAAAGTTGTAAAAGAAAAGATACTTCTTAGATTTCACATGTAACATATATAGACATTTCACCATACATTTTGAGATGATAAAAGTTAACTTTTCTCCAAAAATAGACAATTGTATTTAAATTTACATATTCAGAAAATGCATTTAAAGTAATTAGTGAGAATATAAAAAAAAAATCAGGTATGAAATCAAATATTAAAGTGTAACAACTTTATATTGTGTTGGAGACTTGGAGGGAGTATCTTATTTGAATTTAGTATTGTTATCTTTTGCCTTCACACAATTTTACTTTCTTAACACCCATATTGTGAGGTTAGCTAAGAGAAGAATAACAAAAATTTCTTTATATAGGTACTTGGATCAATTAGGAATGACATCAACCTTCAACCACAAGGTGTACTGCAGACAAGCTTTGATTGGTGGAAACTATGCTCTGCTGAACACAACAACTTTCATCCCAAATCCAGATTACTATGGTGCCCTCTTGTGGAATCACTTGATGGGCAAGAAAGTATTGGCTGTATCCCACAATAGCTCTCCTTATCTCCGAGCTTACACTCATTGTTCTAGACATGGAGTAAGATTTCCAGTTCTTTTCTCTTAATGTTAAAATTATCCTGCATTATTAAATGTTACTATTAAAAAATAGATTTCCGCTCATAATAATAATCTCAAACCAAGCAATGTTATACGGAGTATTAGACCTAACTTAAATTGATTAGACCGGACTATGTCAGACCAGAACTAGATAATAATATAATAAATAATATCATACGTTAATTAAATCTCAAACCAAACAATATTATATTTGTTGACTTACTGAGGTTCCACTTGGTATTGTCTTTTCTGTTGAAAAAAGCTTTTATGTGTCCGAAGTCGTAACACCACTTGAAGCAAAGTGTAGTTTGGACAAAAGATGACTTTTTGAAATAAGGTCAATCGTTGATATGAAAGGCTACAAGTCACCATAATGCAAAAGTAAGTTGATAGTGGTTTTTAAAATACGATACAACGGATGTTTATGAGACCATATTAGCTCATATTTAAAAATCCAGTGTTCGGAACAGACTAGAAAATTTTAGTCCAATTAAAAACATCACAAAATACCGAAAAATTAATCTGTATTTACCAATATTAAATAATTTGGATTGAGTGATGTGTATGTAGTGGTTCATTTAGGCGTTTGTTTGTTTGTTTGTTACAGAGCGGAGTAGCTGTACTATTGATAAATTTGTCGAACTCCACAACCTTTGAGGTCTTCCCCAGAAATGATATGAATTTGTACCCTGGAAATGACATGAATCCTGGGACTCCCCAAAGTCTTCAAAGTACTGACAATATGCCTGAGAGGGAAGAATACCATCTGACCCCAGAAGGAGGAAACATCCAGACTGATATTGTTCTACTAAATGGAACTCCATTGAAGCTCACAAAAGACTATGATATTCCCACTTTGAACCCAAAGTTGGTTGACTCTACCTTGCCCATTACTGTTCAACCTGATTCCATTGTCTTTGCCACTCTTAAAGGCTTTAAAGCCCCTGCTTGTGCTTAGAAAGTATCATTTCTGTTATTTTGCTTAGCTTAGGTTTTATTTGTTTCTCAGTAGCTTGAACCATTAGCATTTGTTTACATTTTTCTATTGCTTAAATTTTGTTAATTAGTCATTGAATGAAGAAACATTTTAGTATCAGTTCACTTCTTTTAATCATAGATTTAAAAAAAATCACTGGTTATTGCCTAGTTTCATTCTCAATTCTGAATTTAAAAAGTTCACCTTCATATATCATTATATCATGAACATTTTTTGGGTTCGTTTGCTTGCAAAAAGATAAAAGATTGATACGTTGTATAAATCATTTTCTTAAAAATTTAACCTTTTCTTTTTAGTACGGAGAATAAATATAATTGCTAAAGGCATGGAGCTTTCCATTTTTCATTATTTTACCTGTTAAATATTTTACAATAGGCCACGATAATATTTTCTCATTTCAGTCATATTTTATCCAGAAACTCTACTTTAGAATATTATAGAAAAACCACCATACAGGAAAGAAAAGTAAAATATGTCTAAACACAAGAAAATCCAGAAAATATATTTATGCTAATCAAAGGGGACCTAAGGCTCCAAAATAGAGCTCAGGCATGGATTCCCTTCAATCAGAGACACCTATGTATACCACCATCCTTTATACAAAAAGATCAACTAAAGACTGGGTGACTATAAAGTATATTACAGAGTTTTATTGGAGTCTGACTGGACACAGGAAAAAAACTTCACAAGATAGATGACACTATGGGAACATATACTCAGTTGCTTATCTCTCTCACCAGCCAATCCAGAGTTGGGTATGCAAAATACATCACCAAGGCAGCGGGGACAGCAAAGATGATTGTGATAGCAAAGTACAACATAAGAACGACAACGCTGCACGGAATGGCAAAGATAACCATAAAAACAAGCACCACCACCAATGGGAACCTCGATGTGAAACGAATGAAGAAGTCAATGGATTTGTGAAGAGAAAATTGCGGTCGTCTCCTGTAAGCACCCCTAGCACCGCGGACGCCTCTGCCATTGTTCCTGACTAAGCGGTTTATGTCACCACCAACAACAACAAATGAAGAATTGGCATTCGAGATGGTGGTGGAGTTCACGCGCAAAGGGGTCCACACATTCCGGTGATTTGTGCATTTGTGGGACCCAAAGCGGTCACCGTTCCTGCTCTCCACCATCCAAAGGAGGAAGTAGTTTTTGTTAGGGGCTTTAAGAATCCCATGGAAAACGAGTCGAAGGGTCAACAAGTTGCACCAAGGGCAGGAGATGAAGAACGGGATTTGGATTTGTTGGGTTGTGGAGATCTTCAGAGCAGCCCGTTTTAGTCCCAAGAGGCAATTCTTGCATATGGTGTGTCCACACCATAAGACATAGGGAACATTCTCGACAATGTTGAAAGATTCACAACATATTGGGCATTCTAAGACTTCATCGATGCTATCATTGGAGCACATGTCATCGTCGTCGGAGAATTCATTAGAGGCAGCGCTTGGCTCAACCGTGCTCTTCTTCCTACCAAAGCTTGTGATGGCATTCCAAATGGATCTCCACATTTTGAAAGACAACTAACCAAACACTGATTCAGTTCTCAAACATCTCCAAATCCTTTGCAAACCTGAAACTTAAAAGTGAGATTGGATAGTGAACCTATATAACATTTGCCGCAATATTTACTATTAACTAGAGAAACTAAGAGCCTGTTTGAAGGGGACTTGGATAAAATGGCTGAATTTTCCAAGAGAAGAGTTTGGTAGCATCTATTTAAGCTAAATAAGTATGTCAAAAGCTACTAATACAGCTTATAATCAAAATAAGCACAAAATGTCAGAAGTGATTACCAAATGATGCCAGAAACTTCAGCTCAAATTCGGAAAATAATGCAGTAAGAAAGTTACTAAATTACATTTCAAGACATTCATAAAGCACCAGTCTAAATTTTAAACTGGGAAAAACTTTTGTTAGCAAGCTTGGCTGGGCCAGGACGCTAAGCCTTTACTCTGTCGGTTTTGTATTGAATGAAACCACTTGTGACAAATGGTGTACATTGGTGTTATGATGGACCTAATATAAGTCCTCCCCAGCTCCACCAAAAACTATCAAAATAAGTTAGATCATGAAGCATCTCTTTAAAAACAAAGATTCAATCTTTCTTTAATCTACAATAAAAGAATGCACAAGTCTACAAAAGTTCATAGGGTTCACTCTTTAAACAAAAGTTGAAGTTCAGGGATTACATTATTTAAAAGTATCCAGCTTTAAGATTTTTTATTATTTTCTAACTGCATATGTCAGCTTTAATTTGTTGGCAGAAGGTAACAAACAACTCTATGACATACCAGATTAGTAATGGTCAGGAATACAAGCCCTCCAACAAGAATCAGGTGTGGAGCAGATGGGCCCTCAGGTTTGGGATGAAAACTCTTTGTAAGCATGGAGGTGGTATAAAAATCTCATGAAAGTTTTAAAACTTTCAATGATACTAACGTTCAAATGCTTTAAAGACTAAAAAAATTACATCAAGAAAGCATATCTGCAGATATCAAAGATTCAACCTTTAATACGTCAGCTTAAATCATTTATCTACAAAACCAGCATTCAGATTGTTCTGTCTCTATAAGTTGATACCAGATGCAGATACATAATGCAAGCAGCAAGTTTTGGCATATCAGTGATGCAAAAGAGTTCAGATTAGATGCCCACTTCTCGAAATAATCTCTTCAAACAGGGGGATTGAAATAAAAGGCAAAAAAACATGCTCGATTATACATTGGATTGCATAAATTTTTAAACTTTTTGGCGAAGTGAAGAACTTACTTTGATTTCTCGAAGAATCAGCAGAGAAATGAGAGAAATCAAGAGAGATGAAAATTTCTTGCGGTGCTCTCTCTCTCAGCGTCTCTGGCCTCGAGGACAACGAGCCAAGGTTGGAAGAAGCCACATTGCATCTCTCGAAAGTATTAGGACGTTCGTGAAATATTTTATTAGAAAAATATTCATGCCATATCCAATTTTAGAAAATTAATTAATGAATTTCTTGTTTTAATTTCTTTATATACAGAGTAATTTTTTTACACTACACCATACTCATGGTTTAATTCATCCGGGTCCGATCCATACAAGTAGCCAGACGAGGTCGGGTAGGCTGTTGGGCTGCCCTAAGATGGTTATAGGCTTATAGCTTACTAGATAGTTGGGATTATTCTTATCAATTTTTCATTACTTTTACTTCTAATCATGGCTTATTAAAAATAGCAAAGTTTCTTCTTGTAGAAGTCATGTTTTAAGATGAAAACACTTGTGGATCTATTAAAAGAAATGGGTTAGCTTTTACTCTAATTTAGGTAGTCTTCTCAAATAGTAATTGTTTGAATGTTGAAACTCTAAAGGTAAATTACAATTTAGGTTATATCTTGATAGGCTTAGAGCAAAAAGTCACGGATTTTTTTTTGGATGGGGATTTGATGGCCCATTGCACTAGAACATAAGCTCCATGATACAGGTTAAACGTTAAAAACCCTAAAGTAACTATTCCACTATGTGTGTGTGTATGTATGTATGTATGTATGTATGTATGTATGTATGTATGTATGTATGTATGTATGTATGTATGTATGTATGTATGTATGTATGTATGTATGTATGTATGTATGTATGTATGTATGTATGTATGTATGTATGTATGTATGTATGTATGTATGTATGTATGTATGTATGTATGTATGTATGTATGTATGTATGTATGTATGTATGTATGTATGTATGTATGTATGTGTGTGGAAGGAGGTATATAGGGCGCAATATTCAAACCATACAAATTGTGATAGACTGATAGGGTTCTATAGTACACCTCACCATTTGGGTGGTTTTGTACTTGAATTGCACCAGCTACCTAGACCGATGAAACACTGACATCAAACTAATTTCCCAGCGAGTAGTGTGGTCATTTGACCGGTGGGATAGGGTCGTTTCGGACCTACACGTGTACCTGTTAAATAGTTTGTATGCCTGTGTTGGATACCCACGTATAGAAATCCAAGCAAAACTATTAGGCCATGTGGTATACCATGTCAAGCACACTCACCAAAAACTGTTAGGCCTGTGTTAGGCCATGCAAGTATATTGTAGTGTTTCCATCAAGAGCCCCTCAAGAAATTCCATTGTAGGTTTTTAACCAAAGGTTTGTAATCAAAGCAATAATAAAATTGTTGAGAACAATAACTAGTGTCATTGTCAATATCTATAAATCCTGAAACAACCTAATTATGAGTCTTTGTTGTATAAGGAATGTTGTGTAATACAAATATCCTTCTCCTAGCTTAGATCTATGGATGCCATTATTTCTCTACGTTGCAAAAGATATGTGCTTACTATATGTTACATGTTCTTCAACTTTTGTCTTTATTATTGTTGCTATTGTTGTTGTTGTTACTACTCATACATTATTTTCATTTAATTTATCACTAATGCTTTCATTGACAAAGAGAGAGTGGGTGAAAATACCTCAAGAATGTACAACCTTTAAATCAAGATTAAAACCCGACATTTAAGGAATATCCAGATTCACGCCAGCGCCCACTTTCATTACCTCATTGCAGTCTCTCATGGTCAATACTTGTACGTGGAGAGCTCTTATGTGGTGGGCAATTCAGCGAACATCTTCAACATAGGTATATGTCAACACTTTGTCTCCAACCCTAGTTGGAGGAGGTATGATGAAATCGTGTAATGGCATACCCCCTAGGAAAAAATTGGAAGCATCATGAGCCCCTCCCACCCCACCCCACCAAAGAAAGGTGCACCACTGAGGAATCCATTACAATTAGCACATTCAAAGGCTGAGCAGTCCATTCCATTACTATAACTAGTCATCAGTGTTTTGGTTTGCCAACATAAAATATAGGCAATATATGGGATTGAAGTCAATGTTTGGTTAATGATCCAATTGATGAGGAGATAAATTTGATTTGAAGGAAGGTGAAGTCCTTGCAACACCTATCTTACTCTTAAGATATCACAAAGATGTGTTCTAAAAAGAATACATGTCATAGTAGTTAATTACAAACTAATTGAATAAAAAACATACTAAGATAGATCAAACGAGAATGGGGCAATGTCAATTTAGATCTATAAACAATATATCTTAAGCAACACAAAATCACTATCACGAATTTGTTTCTCTGATGCATACTATATGTGCTCATTAGATTTTTTTTTTTTTTTGAAATTATGTTATTTTTTCATATTCTTCCATTCTTCATTTTCAATGATAGATCTCATAATTATTGATACATGCATACTTATTTTATAACTGTGAAGGCTTTGTTTCGTAATCATATTGATTCTCTTGATATTCAATCTTACATAAACTAACATCAATACCCTGCTTATAAGTGATCTAGCAGTAATAAGAGAGCAACAACAGAAATGATTTAACCTGAAATCGAAGATACTTGTAGTGGCGATCGAGTATGGGAAATCGAACAGCTGATCGCATGTATCATCAAGTTCCAACAATTAAAAAGCATACACGAGCTTCGAGCAATTTATCTTCCTTTTTAGGCTTTTGGTTGATTGAGCGATTGCTGATTGCTAGATATTTAATCATTGAGTGCTAAACTGACAAAGGGTTTACTCAAAGTCGATTGAGAGGAAGGGTTTCTCATCAAGGTGAGAGGGGGGGGGACTCGTCAGTGTGGTTTCTCATTTCTCCCGAATGATATGTCTAAGTGTCTAACCATTATGTCGAAAAAGTAAGTGAATGGGTAAATGTGAAGGGAAGGTTTTACAAATTATTAAGAGTATTGTATCATAATTGTCTACATACATAATTATCATTCGAACCTTCGTGTAGTTAGAATAATAGCGGTTAATCTCTTAAAAATAAGTTTCATGATCATGCCTTCATTGTTCAACATCATTCGCTCTGTTTAAAAAAAATCAATATAATAGAGATTCTAATTCAACAAAGTCATAATATTTCCTTTATGTTGTACTAAAATAACCAATTACTAAAGGATTTTTGGTTCAATTTACATAGCACTATCAAGATGTGCATATTGTTACCTAATTTAACATTGTTAGAGTTTAACTCTACGTCATGTCGCTACTATATTGATGTTATAATATGTTGCACAATAGGAATAATTACTAATTAGACTGATGTTTTTATGATAATTAGACTGATGTTTGATAAAAATTATATTTACTTATGTTATGTGTATGTAATTATGTGAATCTGTTCAAGAAAAGAAGAACCACACAAATATCCTATGTTTAGCAAAAAAATAGAAATTGAGGGTTATAACTCCGAAATGGGTGTCAAAAATCGAAAACGTCAAGTCTGGATCTTCATAGTCAAACATTGTCACCGAAAAGATGGAGATAAATATATATTTGTATGAGCTTCCGAATCGGTACCAGGGTAGTCATCCTCGATGCCATACCTCAGCTATCGGAAGATAGGAAAACAATCTTCCCGAAACTCACGAGCGTGCCATGCCTACCTCGACATTGGGTGCTCCATTTTATCACATTTAGGGACTGCCCTTCTGAGACCAAATGCTAGACCCACCCTACCCGATGTCAGAGTTGATGAAGTAAGCAAAAATAGGGCAACATGTTATTATACTTTTGATGAGAAATAAAGATTTTGATAAGAATGTTAGAAAATTTAATCTCGTGGTGAATGAAGATCATGAAGATCATCTTTAGACTATTGAAAGATCTCATTTCATCTTAAGTATTGAGGATGGAATTTGATGGTGTATATTACAACATACCTCGGGACCCAAAGAGACAATCCACATAAGAAATCCAAGTTCCCAACCAACCCTAATACTGAGGCCGAGACGGACAGTACGTCAAGGCCCAGAGCAGCGAAAGTTACCCAAAACATTACGAGAAATGTCCTTACACAACTTGACCGGGCTATGTGTGTGAGGTTGAGTGTATTAGATTGCGCCTTAGGAATTGGCAAAAACTTTGGAAAAGGCCGATCCGATAAACCCCAATTTGCATTTCCCTAGCAAGAGTTTCCATACTTCGTTGTTTTTACATTCGAGTCATGTGTTCCATGGCTAAGGTCATATTACCCCTGCAATCATCAATGGGCGCCGTTCCAGGGCAGAGATCATCACAGTCACCACTGACATGATGCTAACGTCGCTACGTGTGTTTCCCAAAATGATTGAGGGACACGTGTCACTATTGTATTAGTTCTTAGCTCTCTTAGCCATCAAATTACCTACTCACTATATGATGGAGTATATGGGCCCTGACCCCGATCCACATACTCACTATGCACCAAAATAGGCCCAATAGTAAGCCATTGAAGCTTAACAAACATCCAACCACCCTTTGGTTGGGCCTCTATATAGCCGAGGTCACCAACAACATGCAGAAGCGGATTCACTACATACGATTCCAACTCGCCAACATTTCCCCTCTTAAGACCCTTCGACAGACTTCATGCCCAATAAAGGGCTCAATTTAAGGGAAGAATTAGTGATGCTCAAAAGTCTCTTTTATTAAGGGACATTACAGTTGAGGAGATGAAATTAGTTTCACTTTTCATGCATTCATTTAAAACATCGAGTCCACATGAGTTAAACCCGGGTTTTTTTCTAGCATTTTTGAGATATAGTGGGAGAAACGGTTGTTTTCTTTTATGAAGATATTTTTCAAAAGACATAAATTCCAGAGGGGTTTAAGGATACTTATACTATTTTAAGTCATAAAAACTAGCACCCTCAGAGCATAGGAGATTGGTGTCTGATCATAACCTTTAGAATGTTTGTATACAGAATTTTTGCCAAGCTTCTTGCTAATCGAATGAGATATTTATTGGATGGAATTATTGCAAAGAGTTAGGGATATTGATAGTGGATAACATCATAGCGGACTTTGAGGTGCAACATTATATGGAGAGGAAGACCCAAGGGAATAAAGCGTTTCGTAGCGCGAAAACTGGATATGAGTAAAGTGTACAATAGGGTTGAGTATTGGTATTTAAGGGTGATTGTGGATAAATTGGGCTTTCATGGTCAGTGGATTAATCTTATTATGACGTGTGTTACTACAGTTCGGTACAAAGGTCAAGTCAACAGAGATATTCTTGATTCATTTTATCCTATGAGGGGGGTAAGAGAGGGGACCCCCTATCTTCGTATCTCTTTATCTTAACTAAGGAAGACATTAGTGCTCGAATCAAATATTTGGAAAGGAATGACAATGTCCAGGGCATACATATAGCTCGGGGGCACCATTAATGGGGCCTCATCTTCTTTTTGTTGATGATAGTTTGTTATTCTTCTGGGCCATGGAGCATGATTGCCTAGTTATAATTGATATATTAGCAAAGTATTCATAGCTATCGGGGGAGGTCATCAATTTTGACAAATCCAGTGTTCTTTTCAGTGCAAACATTGCTTGGGATGATATGGACTATTTAAGTAGTCTGCTTGGGGCCACGAAGGACAAAGGTAGAGAGAAGTACTTGGGCCTACCGTCATTAGTGGATAGAATAAGAAGGAAACTTCCGGGTATATTAAGGAAAGGGTGGTTCAGCGTATACAAAGTTGGAATAGTAGATTTTTTCCCAAATGGAGGTTTTGCAAAAAAAAAAAAAATAGTTCTACAAGTTATACCTCAGAACGCCATGAATGTGTTTTTACTTCCAACGGAGCTATGAAGGATTATTGGTGGAGGGGGGGGAGCGTTCACTCCAATAAAATTGATTTGTAGAGGCATTATAAATTTGCCTCTAAAAATAGTAAATTAGCCTCTAATGCTTTTGGGGGGCAATTTGGTGGTTGCCATCAAATACTCCGTCGCAAAATGATTGTTGCCTCTAAAAACACTCTTTAGAGGCAAAAAAAGATATGCATCTAAAAAGATATATTTAGAAGCAACCATACATATTTGCCTCAAACAGCCATTAGAGACAATTATCTTAGGTTGTTTCAAAATGTTATTAGAGACAATCATATCAATGACTCAAAATGTTTTTTTTTAAATAATGACTCAAAATGTTTTTTTTAAATAATGACTCAAAATGTTATTAAATGTTTTCTTGAATGCTTTTTAGAGGCAACCATATATTAACGCAAACATAAAAATTAGGCATTTAGTGGCAAATATTTCATTTATCCTTGATATAGTAATTGTAGGAGCCAGATTTCATATATTTTCTAAAAATGTCGAAATACAACAAAATTTAATAGAAATCTCACGAAAGCAATGGTTCCTTTAAAGTATAACACAGAATAAGAAAATAAATTTTCATTTATTAACAAAATGTAAATTACATAAGCAATTTGTGCAATGTGATCTTTGACATCTCCATGAATAAACTCTAAAACGAAACTCACTAGAGTTAATAAAACTTTGATGTAATGAAATAAACCAAACTGCTTCACGAAAACAAATTATTTAGAGAGATCATTCTTCTTCTTTTTCTTCCTCTTCTCCTCCCCACACTGGCAGAGGTAAGGGGAGGCCAACGTGGGCCATGGCTCAGTGCAAATTTGGCTAACCCCTTAGGATGTATAGCCAGTATAGGAGTGTATTATAATTCATTGTTGATTTAATTTAGGGATTAATGATGTTGGCCCAGTGTTAATTAAAAAAAAAACTCAGCCGCCCAATGTTTGCAGTCACACGTCCCCATTGCTTACAAATTACTAGTACATGCTACGTAATACGAGTAAGAGAAAAAGAAAGAAAAGTAAAAGCAAACCAAAGTTCGGCCATATTCTTAAACTTTAGGAGAAAAATAAGGTTTAAAATTTATTTTATTTTAGACATGTGAAAATTTACTCCGTAGTACTTAAGTATTAGTGTTTAATTGCTTATGCATATAATCCCTTCATTCTACAATCTCTAGGTATACTCAAATAAAATTTCATGCTTTATATCCAATCCTAATTTATACTAGTAAATATAATTTCTAATTGTTTCATTTTTAAATTTTTGATAAATTTGTATGGGTTTTTGCGTTTATATTTGTTTTATATCAAAATATCAAATTGTTAACATTATCCTTTTCTTGGAAGATTATTAGAGAATACAGATTAATAGGTTGTAATTTCTATGTTTTATGTTGTACTTTCTGAACCTATGCTATTAATTATATTTTAAAATGGTTTCTCAGATATGGGGTGTTTGAAATTAATTTTACTTCTGCTTCTTTTTAAAAACTAGAAGTGAAATCAGAATCAATTTTCAGGAACTAGTCACCCTCATATTTTAAAAAACTGTTTCTAGAGCATTTTGGAGCCCTCAGGCATTTTGAGCCATACACTCCAATATGTCTGCTGCTGATGTTCCTCAAAGAGTAGAAGCAGTTTTAAACACTAGATCCAAACACACCATAAACTCTCTTATCAACATGTTTTCTAATATAAAAAGCCAGAGTGCATCTGCCTTTTCAATATATTGCAGTATATATTTTTTGTAATTAGTTTTATAGTGAAGTTGAACGATATTGATTTTGTAAAATATCTATATTTAGAAATTTATATTTCAAATATTACCTCCATCCCACTAACATTAAGATATGAGGAGATGGTGCGGTTATTAAGAAAAGTGAGTTTGTGTAGCTAATATTAAATTGATAAAGTACAAATGATTTAAAATTACACAATCTTACCAAATTTAGTACCTATGAGACGATTTTAGTGGAACGGACCGGAAAAGAAAGATTGGTCAATTTTAACGGGACGGAGGGAGTAACTGTTTTAGTGGGAAACCGGCCCAGTCCTACTTCTTGTCCTGGCTCCGCCCCTGCCTCCCCATACATCATAATCTTGCTCTTTGTTATTTTGCTCTTTATTATGCTCCTTGTCAACCTAGTTTTGTAAATTCTATACAAGAGTAAAACAACTTCAAAAGTATTAACAAATAAATAATGAACAAATTAATGACTAGAACAAACTGACATAGCCCATTAGACACTTGGGAGAATCTGACAATTACAACCTTTAATTCTTCTCTCCAACTCATAAAGACCGCAAAAATGCTAAAGGTATCCCAATTTGTACCCCTCCCTATTTTTGTGGCTCACAAAAGCAAATTATCAAAGTGGAGCAATTCATTTATTGAAGTGGGTTTTTGTGAGCCACACAAATAGGCTGAGGTACAAAATGAGGTACATATAGCAGGGTTGTAAAGACCGAGGGATACAGTGAACACATTTTTCTGAAAATCAACTCTCCTTACCCTTAGCGGAGGCTACTAATGTTTTTGTTTATTAAATTCATCATCTCAAGGCTAAATATTTATCTTGTGTCCATGACAAAGACCAGGTAAGTAATAAGGTTGATTACCTTCCGAGGAAGGTGTCATAATTTAGCCAAGCTACATTCTACAAGTCCCTGTGACAGAAAGAAATGAGTCAAATGACTAAGTTATTCCCTCCATCCCGGTGGACTTTGTCAAGTGCAAAGTAGGTGAGAAATAAGAATACTAAAACATGTGTGATTGAAATTTGTGCAGAGGAGAGAATGAGGTAGGGAGTAGCTTCTAACTGCTTCTAGGGCTTTTGGTAAATACTTTTAACTTTAAGGAGGGTTATAATGAGGTAAATAATAAGTCAAAGTCTTAAATGTCCCTCATCCTTATCCTTCATATACCCATATACGCATTGCTACCAATCACACAAGACACTACCGACCAGTGAGTTCAGTCACTAGTGACCATTGGGAGCGACATCCGGTGATGGTTTTCAACACCAAGACAACAATAAGCCGCTTCTACGTCCGACCTTCAATCATACGAACATATAAAAAGGCAGGGGAGAGAATGTATTCTCAGATTCCAAACAAAGCTCAAAGAATCCGGCCACCATGAGTGGCAGTTGAGCAGATGCAGTTTTCTTAGGGATAAATCTGTTGGGCGGCGACGGACAACCATTAATTCGTCGATTGGAGCTTGGAAACAGGTTCATTTGGGAAGGAAGCTGATTCATGGAATTCTGACATGAAAAGGGATGGCTCAGATGTTGAACAAGAGACACGTCTAATATATACGAAAGCATGTACTAAAGGTTTATTTTGTCTTTCAACAAAATATTACATAAAAAATCACTTTTTTATCAAACACTTCAACTTTAACTTTTCTGTCATAATCACTTCTATTCTAAAACACTACCAACCTTTACAAAAAAGTACTTTCTTTAAAATCACTTTAAAAAATCATTTTTTCTAAGTCGAAGCAATGGCAAACACTCCCTTAGTTATTGTTGAGTTTAATCCAACACGATATAGTAAATATATGTATGAACACTCAGTTTTTACGTGGAAACCCGAAAGGGAGAAAACCACGGGACTTTTTAGGCTAATGTCCAAGCCCTCTCATTCTCCTTAATCTCTCCTCACCATTACATAGTACAAGTATTGAAGCTCCCATTAATGGAGTTCTAAGCTATTCTAGTGAGAAGGAGGAAGAAGGAAAAAGGGATCCCTAATATGGAGGGAAGCTCCCATATTTATAGAGAATAGGGGGAGGGGATGCTCTCCACCCTAACGGGCCGCGTGGGCCAAAGCGGGCCGAAATGGCTAAAGTGGGCCGGATGGGCCGAAATGGGCCTAGCTGCTCGGGCTCCGTAGTGAGTAATGTCTTGGGCTCCTGAACAGTAATAGGTCGGGATAATATATCCCAACACAAGTCCCCCAGTTTCTTGAGTAGTGAGCTCGCGAATCTGCTCGAGAAAATATACTCTGCCTGCGCCCTTCCTCTGTCTTGCTGGAAACTGTGTCTTCACATAATCATCATATATGAGTGAGTGTCTGGACTCCTGAACGTAATCTACCAGTGAGGCACCCCCCCCCCCTTCCCGACAGGGTCGGGCGAAGGGTGCTCCTCCACGGGCACACTCCGCCTGAATGCATCAGGCGGGAGTAAAGCACTCTGACTCGAGCTTTCCAATCGGAGAAGCTTAGAGGTCCATGCATCTATAAACCGACGTCGCGGTACTGTCAAAACATGATGCACATGTGTACGTATGAATGTATGAGGTATGATGCATGAATGTATGAATGCATGTAATGTATGGGTGCAATGTATGAGAGAAGGAATGTGAGATGTAATAGAAAGCGGTGGCTCTCATCGATAACCCGGGCATGTCAGCGCCGAGAGGAAGACATGCTGCATAAGATGGTCGTCGCCATCCTAGATGGGATGGGCAATCTGGAGATGAACCCGACACAATGGCACGGCGGGGCCGATTGTGCTGCATGAGAGACGTTCGTTGCCATCCTGGAAGGGATGGGCGAGCCGAACATGAGCCAGACACGATGGCTCTGAGGGGCCGATCGTGGTGCATAAGACGTTCGTCGCCATCCTGGAGGGAATGGACGAGCTGAACGTGAACTGGGTACGATGGCGCTGAGGGGCCGATCGTACTGCATAAGACGGTCATCGCCATCCTGGAGGGAATGTGCGAGCCGAACCGTGAATCTGGACACGATGGCGCTGAGGGGCCGATCGTGGTGCATAAGACGTTCGTCGCCGCCCTGGGGGGATGGACGAGCTGAACGTGAGCTGGGTACGATGGCGCTGAGGGGCCGATCGTACTGCATAAGACGGTCGTCGCCATCCTGGAAGGGAATGAGCGAGCCGAACCGTGAATCTGGACACGATGGCGCTGAGGGGCCGATCGTGGTGCATAAGACGTTCGTCGCCATCCTGGGGGGATGGACGAGCTGAACGTGAGCTGGGTACGATGGCGCTGAGGGGCCGATCGTACTGCATAAGACGGTCGTCGCCATCCTGGAAGGGAATGGGCGAGCTGAACGTGAGCTGGGTACGATGGCGCTGAGGGGCCGATCGTACTGCATAAGACGGTCGTCGCCATCCTGGAAGGGAATGAGCGAGCCGAACCGTGAATCTGGACACGATGGCGCTGAGGGGCCGATCGTGGTGCATAAGACGTTTGTAAGGAATAAATGTAATTAGATTTTGATGATGCTATAGGATTAGAAAGTTAGAGTACCCCCAAATTAGATTTTATGTATTAGAATTTTCAGTTGTAAGTATTAGTGTAGTCGACGATCAGAGTTGCTCAGTTTTGGATCAGATCAGAAGTGCATCAGAACTGCTCGACCAGACTTGCTCTATGAGAACTGCTCCATCAGAGTTCTCTTAGCAGAAGTCCATCAGAATTGCATCATAAGAGTTGCTGATAAACCTGGACATCTGATAACCGATGAGAACTACAGATCAGAAGTACTCATCAGCGGACCTATCAGAGTCAGAGTCAGAGTTCAGTCAGAGATCAGAAGACCATCAGAACTCAACTCGTCAGAAAGTCATCAGAATCCAACACATCAGAAGAGCCTGATCAGAGCCCGACGAACACTTAGAAGATTTCAAGCAACATCCAACAGCTATGAATTCAACGGGTAAAAACATCCAACGGCTACAAGACTGTGCATGAAAGGAAAGCATTTAAAGCACATTAAATGAGCCTGATACGCTGAAGGATTGATTGCAAATAATTGACCAAGAAATCCGGGAAGATATATTATAAAAATAGAAACCTTCCAAAACGGCGGTCAAGTCAATTGTACGCGCATTTAATGCAGTTGTCTCCTCCTCCAACGGGCAGACAACCTCAGTATATAAGCTACACACCGAAGATCAGGAAAATAACTTTGCTACAACTTTGCTACAACTTTGCTACAACTTTGCTACAACTTTGCTACAACTTTGCTACAACTTTGCTACAACTCTTGCAAATCATCATTCAAGCTCTCTTGAGATTCAAACTCTACAACCTTCAACAAGACAAGCTTACGTTGGGAAGATTCAAACTCCAAATCTCTCATCCCCAACAAACAAGCAAAGTTCATCCTGTTCTTCAACTCTTCAAGAACTTCATCAAACATCATTTGTGACGAAGCAAGTTGGAGGAAAAACTCTGTTTTTCAAAAGGATCTTCTGAAAAGAAGGGCGTCCAAGTAACTGCAGTAGTGAAGTGGTGATACTTCCGGGAAGCTGAGTGAAAGGACCAGCCATCAGGACGTGGAACTGCATCCTGGGTGGCAGCTAGGCTTGAAGAAGGCGTGGAGAACTTCTTAAGTGCTAGGAATTAAGCTTTGTAACCGATCTACTTCAAAGCTAGTGGAACAGTGGACTAGAGGAACGAGTTGTTCCTTGAACCACTATAAAAATATCCGGTGTCATTTACTTTACTGCATTTTTCTTTATTTCTGCGCTTAGGATATTAACTGATTAACTCTAAGACTTGGAATCTGTGTTCAGCAGATCTTGTTTTCAGAGTTATCAGAAAGGCATCTGCCTTAGTGTTTCTGAGGCTACCCGGACAGATCAGGATCCGCTGCCAAGGCCAGTTCTGATATCAGAACCAGCCTTTCTCTGTCACCAGAATCAGACCTTCTCTGATAAGTCATTTTGGACTTAGAGAAAATTTGAAAAATCAATCAGTCTATTCACCCCCCCCCCCTCTAGACTGATTACCATATTTAACGGGACCAACAAGTGGTATCAGAGCCTCCTTGTTCTTGTAATCTTTTAGGTTACTCTCTGAACAAAGATCCACTTGTTCTTAGCCTTTTTTTTTATTATAATGGATAATTCTCTTGCAAAGCATCTTATGTTCACAGATCAAAAGTATGATGATTGGAAGATCAGAATGAAGGCACATCTATGTGCCCTACATGATGAAATGTGGGAAGTCTTGGAGAATGGACCCTTCATCCAGTTCATGAAGATCAATCCTGCTCACTCTATTGACAACTCTCAACCCCAGATGATTGAGAAAGCCCGGTCAGAATGGACCAAGGAAGAGAAAAGGCAGTACAACCTAGATAATATAGCCAAGGACATTCTTTACAAGGCTATTGATGAAAGATACTTCAACAGAATCAAGAAGTGCAGAACTGCCAAAGAAATCTGGGATAAGCTGGATGAGATTGGAGCAGGAGATGAGCAAGAAAGAGATAACAAGTTGACCATTGCTATGAAGAAGTTTGATGACTTCAAACTTCTACCAGAAGAATGCATTGCTAAAATGCATGAGAGACTGCTGATTCTAATCAGTGAAATTTCTGAGCTTGGAAAGGAGCTCACCATCAAAGAGGTCAACATGAAGATTCTCAGGGGACTGCCTTCAGCTTGGAAGATGAAGGTGATTGCAGTCCAAGAAAGCAAGAACATCAAGACCTACCCCACAGAGAGATTGATCTCAGATCTCAAAGCTTATGAGTTCGAGATGGTTGAAGAGAAAGAAGAAGTGCCAGATGAAAGAACCACAACTGCCCTTACTGCCAGCACTTCTAAGGCTACAAACTTTGATCCTTCAACTCTTCTATCTGATGAATATATGGCTGCCTTTGCCAGAAAATTCAGAAAATTTATGAAGAAAGATGGAAGGAGTCCATCTTCCATCAGAAGACCTCATCAGAAGACCAAACCTTCTGAAAGCAATGGAGAGTACCTCTGCTACAACTGCAGACAGCCTGGGCACTTCAAAGCAAACTGCCCCTATCCAAGAGTGTCCAAGAAACAAGGACATGAAGAAGAAAAGAAGCCTGAAGATCAACACAGAAGAAGAAGAGCATTCGTCTCAGAGCAAGCTGAGAGAGATCCACTCTCTGAATCAGAGTCCAGTTCAGACTCTGACTCTGATGAAGCTTTCTGCTGCTTGGATGCAGAAACTGAAGACCTTTGCCTCATGGCACAATCTGATGATGAGGTATGCTCCACTTCTGACTCTATTTCTTCTTCGGTAGGCACAGCCTTAAATGATGATCCAATGTCATCATTTTGGGAAGAGTTCCAAACTATCCAAGCCACTTATTCCTTTGTTAAAGATGAGAACAGTAGGCTGAAAGTTGATATCTCTGATCTAAGGAAAGAGACTGAGTGCAAACTTAATCTCTTAACTGAGGAAAGAGATAGACTGAAGGCTGAAAATGAGTCTCTTCTTAAAAGAATAAGAGATATTGAAGGACTTGAGAGTAAATATAATAGTCTTCTGAAGATGCAATCTTCCATGAAGAATATTGGAGACTCTCATAACTTTACCTCTGGTCTTGGATATGTTGAACCAGAGTCTGGTGAGCCTTCTGTAAAGCCTAGCACCCAAGTTGCTAAGGCTAAAAAGGTCATAGTGCCACAGACTCTGAGCCCCAATTGCCATGCTAGTACTTCTGGTACTAAAGTTGTTCATGAGAAGGTCATACCAGAGAAACAAACTCTAAAGGCCAAACCAAAACAAAGTTTGAAAACTAATGAACCTGGCAGACACTCTAACAAAAGGAAAAGTTTTCAGAACAATAATAATCAAAGGCCTAACCCAATCAGACAATCTCATGACAATGGTATCAGAAACTGCTATCAGAAAGGCAGATATCAAGAGAAGATTAACTATAGGCAGAAGAGGTTGTCTGGTCAACCTCAGAAGTCTAAAGTTAAGCGCTCCTCTGATCTTGATAGTATATGGGACTTCTTTCCAACCAAGAAGGCTATGCAGAAGTATGCAAACAGAAAGCATGATCCTCACAAGCATCTGCCCAAAGTGAATCATACATCTGTTTACTACAACTACCAGGTGGACAATGGGTACCATCCACCAAGGTTTCAGTTGATGAGACCAAAATGGTACCAACTACCAAGACTGCATTACCCCCCAGGACCCAACATTGCTTGGGTACCTAAATCTTCCTTTTAATCTTGCAGGAACAGTGTGCTGGAGCTATCTCAGAACAAGAATGGTACATTGACAGTGGATGCTCCAGACACATGACAGGTGACAAGAGTTGCCTATCAGAATTCCAGAAAATCAATGGACCCAGAGTCACCTTCGGTGGAAATGACAAGGAAGGGCAAACAAAAGGAAGAGGGAAGCTGATCAAGAACCAGATAATCATTGAAGATGTCTCATATGTCAAAGGTCTGAAATTCAACTTGCTGAGTGCTAGCCACTTCTGTGACAAGGGCTACACAGTTGAATTCACCAAAACCTTATGCTATGTCAAGCATGAGACAACCAAAGAAGTGGTTCTTACAGCCAAAAGAAGGAAGAACATCTATGTTGTTGACTGGCAAACAGCAAAAGATGGAACCTGTCTGATAGCAAAGGACAATTCAAAGCTAAGCTGGGACTGGCACAAGAAGCTTAGCCACCTGAATTTCAAAACCATCAACAAACTGGCAAGGGAACACATTGTAGATGGTCTGCCTGACATTGTCTACAAGAAGGAGACCCTCTGCAGTGCTTGTCAAAAAGGCAAACAAGTGAAGACCTCATTCAAACCCATAGCTGGAGATCTGTCTACTTGTCCTCTAAATCTGATCCATATGGATTTATTTGGACCAGTTGAAACTCCCAGTGTTGGTGGAAAAAGATATACTCTTGTTATGGTTGATGATTACTCAAGATATACTTGGACTGTGTTTCTGACTAAGAAGAATGAAACTCTTCAGAAGTTGCCATCTCTGCTAAAGCAACTCCAAACTGAGAAAAATATGAAGGTCAGAACAATCAGATCTGACAGAGGAACTGAATTTGTCAACAAAGTGATCAAAGACTTCTGTGATCAGAATGGTACATTCCATCAACTTTCTGCTGCCAGAACACCCCAACAAAATGGTGTTGCAGAAAGAAGGAACAGAACTCTGAAGGAAGCTGCAAGAACTATGATTGCAGAATCAGGACTGCCCATCAGATACTGGGCTGAAGCTATCAACACTGCATGCTACACTCAAAATAGAAGCATGATCCACAAGAATCATCAGAAGACCCCCTACGAGCTGTGGAAAGGAAGAAAACCAAATATCAGCTACTTCCATGTGTTTGGATGCAAGTGCTACATTCTAAACAATGGAAAGGATAATCTGAAGGTATTTCAAGAAAAAGCTGATGAAGGTGTATTCTTAGGCTACTCAAGCTCAAGCAAAGCCTATAGAATACTTAACAGGAGAACTCTACAAGTTGAAGAATCCATTCATGTCAAATTTGATGATGGTACCTCTGCAGAAGAATTATCAGAGACCTTGCAGAAGATCAATCTTGAAGATAAGAGTTCAGAACTATCAGAAGATGCCATCAACAATCCTATATTCTCAACTCCTCCTGCCAATCCAGTTCTGATAGACAAAGATGAAGATGAAGATGATGTATCAGAAGATGAACCATCAGAGTTGCCTAGACAGCAACTGTCAGAACCTGATCTAACTTGGTTAAGAGATCATCCTCCTAATCAAGTGATAGGTCAAGTCACCAGTGGTGTTAGAACCAGATCTGCATCTAGAAGAGAAGCCATGTTCACCTGCTGCATATCTCAAATGGAACCAATGTGTGTGGAAGAAGCTCTAGAAGATTCAGATTGGATCAATGCAATGCAAGAAGAGCTGACACAGTTTGAAAGGAATGAAGTGTGGAAACTTGTTCCCAGACCAAAGCATCAGAATGTCATTGGAACCAAGTGGGTATTCAAGAACAAAGCAGATGAAGAAGGCAACATTGTAAGGAATAAAGCAAGGCTTGTAGCAAAGGGATACTGTCAAGAAGAAGGCATCGATTTTGATGAGACCTTTGCACCTGTAGCAAGACTGGAAGCAATCAGGATATTTCTAGCCTATGCTGCTTACAACAACATCAAAGTATACCAGATGGATGTCAAGAGTGCATTTCTGAATGGAGAACTTGAAGAGGAAGTGTATGTTGAACAACCTCCAGGTTTTGTCATTCCTACTCAATCCTCTTGTGTCTACAAGCTCAGAAAGGCCCTCTATGGTCTTAAGCAAGCTCCCAGAGCTTGGTATGACACATTGTCCCTATTCTTAGTGAACCATGGGTTTACTAAAGGAAAGGTGGACAAAACTCTATTTCAAATTTCTGTTGCTAATCATATTCTGTTAGTGCAAATCTATGTTGATGATATTATTTTTGGAAGCACTAATCCAGAATTATGCAAGAAATTTTCTCAAGTTATGCAGAACAAGTTTGAAATGAGCATGATGGGAGAACTCAGTTACTTTCTTGGATTACAAGTCAAACAAGTACCAGAAGGCATCTTTATCAACCAAGGAAAGTACACCAGAGATCTCATCAAGAAGTTTGGAGTAGATGGAAAATCTTCAGTCAAAATTCCAATGAATGCCTCTCAAGGCATTGGACCAGATGATGAAGGCAAAGATGTTGATGCTACAACTTATAGAGGAATCATTGGATCTCTCCTCTATCTGACTGCAAGCAGACCAGACATAGCTTTTGCAGTAGGAATCTGTGCCAGATACCAATCAAAGCCCAAGGAGAGCCATCTAATTGCTGCTAAGAAGATTATCAGATATATCAAAGGAAATCCAAATGCAGGACTATGGTATCCCAAGGGAGGTAATTTTGAACTAATTGGCTATTCTGATTCAGATTTTGCAGGTTGCAGATTGGACAGGAAGAGTACTTCTGGTCACTGTCAATTGCTAGGTGGGAGACTTGTCTCCTGGTTTAGCAAGAAGCAGAACTCAATCTCAACTAGCACTGCTGAAGCTGAGTACATTGCTGCTGGAAGTTGCTGTGCTCAATTACTCTGGATGAAGCAACAACTCAAGGATTATGGAGTGCAAGCAAAGGAGATCAAGCTGCTGTGTGACAATACCAGTGCCATTGCCATCACTCAGAATTTTGTGCTGCATTCAAGGACAAAGCATATCGAGATCAGACATCACTTCATCAGAGATCATGTGGAGAAGAAGCACATCTCAATTGAGCATGTCCCAACTGAAGACCAGCTTGCAGACATCTTAACCAAACCTCTCTCAGAGGCAAGGTTTAACAAGCTAAGGGAAGAATTGGGAATGATGGATGATCTTCCCAGAGATACATGAATCAGAATTGTAGAAGTATCAGATGGGGACTCATCAGAACACCCCATCTCTGATACCCGAAGCTCTTATTCATCAGAAGCTTGAATCAGAATTGCAAGGTTCAGACTTGCAAAAGTCAGAGTTGCAGGAAGGATCAGACTTGGTATTCATCAGAGGTCCTCATATCAGAACACCTCTATCTCTGATACAAGGGCTAATACTTATCAGAGTGGCTGTGGACTTAGAAAAATTTTCTAAATTTCGGGCGAGACTGTTCAATAAACCGGAAGTTACTATTTTACCCCCGGTAGTTATTACCATTTTTGGAAAACGGCTTTCCGCCCACAATCCATTTAATGCAACCTCGAAACTGCAAATTATATCAAACGTCCAC